AGGAGGGGCACCAGGAAGGACAAGAGGACTCGATATTTATACCAGTGATTCAATGACAAATGGCATAAATGGTCATAAACCTTAGCCAACATCAATTTTCTACTTGACTTTAGTTTTCTCTTTCCTCTCTTCTTCAGTCATTTTTCTTTTCAGTTAACCTAAGACAAGTTGAAGCTTTTCTGAAGTTCTGATTCCCATAAAGAATCAATTTTACTTTGAAAAGTCATTTTTCTAAAGCATAGATGATTTGGAGAGGTAACCATTTCAACTTTTAACCTCCCGCCACACAGTAGATAGAATGCCTACTCCATATATATATATATTGGTTGAGCTTCTAGTCTCAAACTCTTGCTCCTTTTCCTTTTACTTTGAGAGATGATGAAGCAAAAAGATTGACGTCTTGAGTCTTGAGTCTTGAACCATGGAGGGATTTATTTGGGCATGCATCTTTTGAGTTATTATTCGTGTTTTTTTTTTTTCCCCTCATGCATGGACATGTATTCGACTTCTTTATCCTGGTTGGTCTTTTCAATTTTTTGGGTGAACAAATACTGTTGATCTAGCACTTTGCGTTGCCTTTAGAGTGTACAAAATGGGCTGCTAATTGCTTGGCCAGATCAAGAAATTAACTCCCTTCACTGTCTAGGAATATCTAGTACTAACACAAGAAACTCAAAAAGTGTTCCCTTGCCATAACAGGGTATCATCATTGCATGATCCAACTCTGTCTTTTGTTTGGATTATGTTTGCCATAGTATTCACCATAATTGAAAAAACCTGATGTAACTAAAACTGCGCTTTTTAGTGGACTTTATGCTAATTATGTGTGTTTTAAAACAGTCTTGAAATTCCCAAACTAACATGAATAACTTACTAATAAAGTGGCTGTAGAAGGAGATGGAGAGGACTTGCATGAAGTTGAAGTGATTCAAGAATATGAAATTGAAGATGAAGGACCATCGATTATGAAGTGAGCGAATGAAGATCACAGATGTCTAGCAACTAATTACGATCAAGAATTCAGTAGTGTAACAGCCAGAAGATGATCATGATGAACAGCGGATTACAAATCCCTGATCTTTCAAATCACAATTGATATTCAACATGAGCAGCCAAGTTGATTGATGATAGCTGCACTAGGCACAATATTTGATTTCTAGGTCTAGCAGAGTATGTTTGCCGACAATAATCGCGCTTTTGGCACCGTCCATCAAAAGTAGTGAGATCCACAATTTTTTTAGCTCTCTGATCTTTGATGGTTCCTGCATGGTGGAGAAAATTGTGATGTACACAGAAACAAGCAAGTTGTCCGTGAAGAAACAGTTGTTTGGCAAATTTTACCATCAAACGGATCAAAGACAGTGGGAAGGGAATTTCCCCTGTGACTTCTTGCAAAGGAGGCACGGTGGGTCATAATTCATAGACCACAATAGTGTCAATCACCACAACACGTTTGCTTCAAGAATTAATAATCTTCCCTGAGCTGGAAGAATTGAAGTTTAACAGAAACTTGAACTTGGTAGTGATATATCAATCACATGCAAGCAATCAGGCAAGGCTGTTGGGATGAATGATTGAGCATGTGTGGATCAACTCCTTAATTGGATGCCTATGATAAATCTACCTTAACATATCCAAGTAGTGCCCAAGTTGCAACTACCCTAAAAGAGGAGATAAAAGATGATTTCTTTGCATTAAAGGACAAAGGAGTGTTAGGAATCTTAGGAGAAAAAAAGCTTTCGTTGTAGATGACTTATAAGATGGCCTTGCTTAGCTTTTATTTTTACAATAGAATCCTTTCATGAAAAGTTAAAAGGTGATGCATCCAACCATCATATGTTTGAAAGATCAGGTTTAAACGATTTTCTGAATTTCGAACATCAAATTGATAATCTTTTAGATTTGTGTTTTGATAAGTAGAATGTTTTGAATTCAAAATCTTCTACTTACAATTCCCGTCATCTTACTACTCAATCCAACCCTTTCCTAATGATCTTCTAGTTTTTGAGAGTACGAATTGAGACTTCACGCTATTTTGGATGACCAAGTTGAAACCTTTCAACTAAGAGGACCAATTTAGGATTTTATGTTATTCTTGCAAGATCAATACAAAACTTGTAAATTTGAGGGACCAAATTGAAGTTTTGGCCCAAGGAATTAAGTAATTTTGCAATAGGCTTCTAGAAGCGTTGAACAGGACTTTCAAATTCGTTTTAAAAACTCAGGGCGGTGGCTGGGGCCGGGGGAGAGATCCAACTTGTCAAGTGACGGAGACAGCCCAGCCGCAGTGCGGTGTCCTCGTTTTATGATAGGATACTCGATGTAGAATTGGCCCATTCACGAGGAGGGCCCCTAGAAAAGAATTCTGTTATGTTTCTCGAAAGGCCAAATGGGCCCCTCAAAGTTTCAGAATTTTGCAAGTGGCCACATGTCTGTCCGGCCTGCTATTATTATCTTCCCGCTACAAGTTGCCAAATTCTGCCGGCATTAGTAAGCTTTCTTCTTTGGTACAAGCTTTTCAAAGCTAGTGTTGACTGATATTGGAATGTGGACCTGATGATAATTAAGACATGTCTTTTGTTTGAAAATTCTAGGAAATTTCCTGCTAGTTTTTCTTTAATTGTGTCGTTGTTTCTTCGGTTAAGGAATCTTACTTTCTTTAATTGTGTTTGGATTTATTAGTTGAAATATTTATTAATATATTTTTTATGATTTGATACATGTGAAATGAGAAGGCAGTTAAAAAAACGTATTTATGTTTCAAGTATAATAATATTTTTTTTAAAAAAAAAAAGGCATTCAGATGTTTTTCGTAATACCATGGCCCCATTTGACAAGTGAATTTTTTGGATGTTTGTCTAAAATTTTACTGTAGTTTACTGTAGAATTTTTAAAAAATTTTTTAAAATGTGTACATTTTTTAATATTTTGAAGTGTATAGTTTGAAATTTTTGGGATTACTGTAGTTAAAGTTTTTAAAAAACTTGTAGCAGACAAACTTGGTAAAAAACTTGCCTACCAAACAAGGCCATTTTTTGCATTCTAAATGCATAGAGACGTGCTTCCAAAATCCAATCCAACTGATAAGAACATATGTAACTCGTCCTCTTTCTCTACCAAGACTTCTTCATCTTCTCCTCCTCCTTCTTCTCCTCTCTCTCTTTTTTTTTTTTTTTTTTTTTTTTTGGGAGGGGAGGGTGTTCTTACGCTTCTAAGAGTTTCACTTGAATCAGAAAATAAACAAATAAACAAAACAAGATGTGAAAGAGCATTAGAGTTAATAGAAGTCATAATTTCCTTTCCTTTTTTTTTTGTTTTATTTTCGACTTGGAGACTTAGGAATCAACTAATTTACAAATTTGGTTGGTAGTTGGTACTAGGAAATGAATAGACATCTTACCACCATAGATACATTGCTGATGATGGTGACAGAGTCCATTTGATTTGGATTTGGTCAGTCCTCCTTTCTTGCCTTTATTGATTCCATCCCCCACATCCACTCATCACTCATGCATATGCATCACAAATCACAGACAAAAGGCTCAACTAATTTTTGTGTGAGATCAAAGTTAGTGAATAATAAACTATAACACATTTTTGTAATATGATATACGTGAGATCAAAAAGTCATTAAAAAAGATGAAAAAAAAAGTTATTAGAAAATGTGTGTATGATATAAACAAAATATTTACAAATAATCGCCTTTTCAGGAGATCCAATTGCTCTCAATTTTCATATAGGCATTTTCTTCAACAACTACCAAGAAGTGATTATTGAAAACTTATTCAAAAAATAAAAGCAAATTTGTGATTTAAATGTTTCATAAAGCTAAAGGCTTTTTTAAAAAAAGAAGCACAAGAGTTGCATCTTAGTTCAAAACTAAGTAATGTTTTATTGATGAGAAAAATTCGTATCAACCCTATCAATCAATGACAACGATCACATTAATCGACTTTTTACTAGGACTATTCAAATTAAATTTGAATTGAAGAACCTGATAAACAGTACGTTTTGATTTTGCCCAATCCTTTTAAAAGTTTGGTCTTACAGACCAGAGCAGTAGTAGTTTAAAATTTTTACCTTCGTTACAATTTCAAAATTGCCTTACAATTTTGCAATTTACAATTTTACCGTGTACTCCTTGACCTAGTAACCAAGAGCATCACTCTTAGGAAAATTTGGAGTCCAAATGTTTTTTTTCCAAGCTTACTAGTGGCCTTTTTAACTATAAAGCTCAAAACAGTTCAGATTTCTGACTGCTGGAATCTAGAGTAATCTGACTTAAGCTTTATAATAACAAAAAAAAAAATCCAGCAATGAACACATACTCCCCCAATTCCCCAAAAATGTTTTACCATGGCCTCAAACAAGGCCGCAAAAACCCAAGAATGGGATCCAACTGGGCTTGACTTCGCTTTGCTAGGTCCAAATTCGAGGTCAAACTTGAACATTCAAGGTCCAACTCGAATTCAAGTACAAGTATAAATGAGCTTGAATTCGAACCTGATTAACCTCAAATTAAATTGAAATGAATTATAATAATTATTTTTTATAATAGATAATATATATATATGTATATATGTTACTCTAAATACATATAAAAAATAAAATAAAAGGAATATATGCTATTATGCTCTAAGAGCATTTATGTCAAGTATCGAACAGCTCAAATTTCACTAAGAAGCTCGTCAACTCAAGTATTAAACAGCTCAAACTCGACCAAAAAGCTTGTCGAACTCAACTCGACCCGTATTAGTGATTAGTGATTGAGCAGGCTGACAAGCTCTCAACAAGTTAGCTCGCTTCACTTTAGCCTCAAGCATTTTACATATCACTGTATTGGAAAAACGTAGTTGTAGTTTTGCAAAAATATTTTTCCAAAAAGTTTCACACACAACCTTGAGCCGTCTCTACATTGTAAAGGAAAGGGGGAGGCTGGAAGCAGCAAAGTTCGAGGTCCATCCCGCCTATGAAACATTGGCCTTAAACAAGAAGTGCATTTGAGGCTAATAATTATAGTGTCATAAGATTGTTTTGATAGCTAAGCAGCTGCAGCCATACTGCTAAATATATCAGTAATTGGTTCATATGCCACCAGAAATACGTTAACTATACAACCGAAACTCTCAGACCAAAATTTTGCTCGTAAGAACAATCCATCCCTCTTATAGAAACGCCCGTTTCACAGCTGCAGAATGTGTCACAGTATCACACACAACTTTACAAGCTATCAACATTGTATCAAGCTAAAAGACACTTTTTAGCAGTGGTGAGGAATTTCTCCATCCCAACTTTCCAGTCCGATGGTTACCTGGAAGTCCCTATTGGTAGTTATTGAGTTTTACAATGGTATTGATATCCCCATTCAAAAGTGTTTGTGTTCTGCATTTCTTGGAGCAGAAACCCCCTCACTTCGTTACAGCTCTTCTGAGAAGTGCTGGAAAAGGGATGCTGAGAACCAAGTGAATCCTTCATCTCTGTGGGCGTAGCATTAAAATCGATGCTCTTCTTGGAAGCAGCACGGCTATCTGATTTATCAACATTCTTTTTGCTCAGGAACCTGCCTCCGCAACCTCTGGCTCTTCTCATAGCATGCAAGTGTCGAGATTCATGAAGATACGGCTGGAAAGCAAGCAACAGAAGCCTTAATCATACAACATGATCTCTAAAACCATCAGTGGACGCTGGAGAGTGCATCACATGATCCACTGAGATCAATTAAACAAAAGCTAAAACCAACCTTTCTAGCTTTCGCCACCTTATTTTCCAACTCAGCCTTTGCGCGCAGTTGTCTTCGCCTTAAAATCCCATGGTATTGTTTCGCGTTCACATACACTGGTTCCTCCGCCAATTCAAGAGGCAATGCCAACCTAGAGTCGTGCATACTTTGCAAGTCTGGATGCACCTAAAACACAAAATATTATGTAAAACATTACATTAGGACAAAAAGAAAAGTTTGTGCTGAACTAAGCTGTCTCTGAAACTGGAAAGTCTTTGTGTTATACTCCTCGCAAACAGATCAAACAACAGAAGGAAGATAACTGAATCAATCTCCCCACTCAGCTCCACATCAGAAATTCCATACAGCGTGCCCCTATGCTGGACGAAAAGTAGTTTAAATCTCATCAGCTCTTAGAACCATTTCTTTAGTAAAATACATTTGCATATCATCCTTTCAACCAACTCATGAAAATATTGATGGATTTTAGGTCCCGCCCCCTTTTCCCATGGATACCGTACCACTTGCTTGGCATAGACTGATTGATGCACTTATGACACATTAAACATACTTCACAATCAAACTAACACATAATTCTTCAATGCCATCAGACCATTATAGATGTTACCTTATATCCATGCAGTCAACTAGATCTAAACTCGGATAGAGTGTAAATTTGTTATAAAAAATATTCTACGCTATATTAACAACCTCTAAACTGTCATCTGAAAGCAGGAAACGGTTGCCAGAATCACTTTTTCCATGCATGCCATTTTCCTGGAAAAAAAATTTTCAGGTCAAGGCATAAAACATCCAAATGAAAACTGTTATCTAAATATCTCTCACTGGTTTTGTTCTTTCTGGTAAGTTATATTGATGTAGTCTTCTTCCAAAATATTTAATTGCACACCAAAAATAATATGTTTCTTCATCAAGCGTAATTCAGACGTACAGAACTAAACGACTATCATAAAGAACATCAATTCGAAATTCTGTTTAGGCTTCTTGAACATACATGTAAGGAAGAGTATATAAGTTCATTGATCCACTAGATATGTTTAATTCTAAGATGGCCACCCATTGTTATCCATTACATCTTAGTTATCAGGCACTTTATAAATCAAAGGCCGTTAAGCACATTAGTAAAGAACCTTTTATATCTGGAAGCACTAGTAGTACAGTTTCTCCAACAGCAAATCCAGCAATGATCATACTCATCATTGCTAAGTTGCATTAAGTACAAAAAAGATTAAGGATAACATTAGAGCAGAGGATATCGTTACTTAAAGAAAAGTTCCAAGTCAATGAATCAATTTTTTAACTACTACTTTAGTTTGCTGATCAGCATACCTAGGACATTTGTCACTGCAATTGCATATATCCTCTAATTGGAGAGAGAATCTTGTTTTGTGTTTAAGTTCTCATATTGTGTTAGGCTGAAGGCCAAGGGTAATTCAGAAAATATATGTAAAAGGTAACATCAAAAGGGCTCCTCCTGCTTTATGTTTATGTTGATGATATGTTAGTTTTTTGTTACTTCTACCTGAATCTTTGTACGGCAATTTTCAAGACTACTCAGCAAAACTAATGAAGCTTCTGCATATAACAGTTGGATATCTGTTCTGCAAATCAAATCTGATGTTATAGTTTATATATAGTCAAGTATGACTTGTTAGTTGCTGTAATTTACTCAAATTTGAAATTATTGGTTGCAGTTCCACTAATTATCACCTTGAATCAAGCCCTGTTCAATGTTCAGTAGTTCTAGTGATTATAGTTGTCCACGTCTCAAAACTTGATGTTCCTGAGATGACATTTAGATTTCTGAAGTGACATTGATCAATCTATCTTTCACATGGAGATACAAAAGCCAGCAAAAACTGTTAAGATTTGGAGTCACTCTAGACCGTTTCATTCGTATTAATGCTTAATCCAGTGAAGCAAAAAATTATTAACGCATCATGCATAGCAAATGCTTGAGCATAACAAGTTTAATTTACGGTGCACAAAGAAATAAATCAAGAATCGGAGTAACTTCTTTAAGGATTTTCAAATTCATGGAACATAAAAGCTATTGAAACCCCTAATTCTGCAATGATCGAAGTGGACCAAGAAGAATGCTCAAGACAGAGACTGACCACGTTCACAGCATCAACATTAGCAGGCACAAAGAAAATGCAGATTCAAACCAAGCATATATCCAAAATGTGTATATAGAGGAGAGAGTCCGGCTTACATACCCAAGTTTGACCATGATCAGGCGAATTACCCCAAAAAGATGATTCTGGACAAGGATATGTTGTGCATGCCTGGGAAAGGAAAAGAGAAAAAAAAAGCAAAGATTTATTACAAAGACAATGACAATAATAATTTCAGGTTCATGAAAGAAACATATTAATTTTAGATGCAAACAAAAATTCCAATTAAATTATGGAAGCCATGGATTCTCACATATGTACGTTGGAAGAAGGAAGAGAAATACATTGGATGATTGCTTACAAGTTTCAGTTGAGTAACTGGTATTAGATGTTCGCTCATCGTCGGAGAAGCTATACTTGAGAATTTGAGAAGTTCTTGTGCACTATTTTGGTCTAAACATTCAGACCAAAAAAAAAAATTATCTTGACATCCGTATCATGTAAATCAGTAAGTACTTATGATTGCTCATTGTAGCAAAAAGAAGACATAGCCCTTATACTACACTTAAGAAACTAATGAACTACTTCTTTATTTTACTCACAAATTAAAGAATACACAAGATTAACAATTGTTGACATCATTAACAAAGTTAGCCAAACAATTGAATTGAATGTCAATGGAAAGATTATAGTAATGTGGTGTAATCATAGTAAGGATGTCAATGGCAGAGAGTGGAAGACAACAATTAGACAAGCATAAATTAAGAACTTTTTAAAACACGATAAACACTAATTGATAGAAGTTATCCAAGAGGAGCCTTGGAATGGTAAGACATTGGTTGTTCCAAGACGTTCGCTTTAACTTTTGGTACGTATGATATAAACAAATTCACCTATCAGCCACTTCCACAAAAGTGCCAAAAGGACACAAGAAGCACAATGGATACAGTATCAAACATATTGGTGATGGAAACAAAACAAAAATGTCCCGTCCCTTTCAGAGCTTTCCTTTCTTCCCTTTTGCAAGCAACATACGTCTTGTTGAGACTCAAAAAGACATTTTGAGTGTGCTCTATTTTTGCATTTTTATACACATTTAAATGAACCAACCATCGTTAAGAAGCAACAGCAATCACCAAACTGCTATTGGATCTTAAAAAAGGCCAGACTTAGAAAGAATCACTTGTTACATCCTGCAAGTCAAAATTAAAATTGGAAAGCAGGAAAATACAGGAAGTGTCTTGATACTACTATAAATCCTTAGTACCTGATTCTAGGAACTTTGCAGTTTCCACTTCTCTGTATATTTCACCTCCACTTTTCTCCAAAAACTTTGCTTCTAATTCATTAGATGTTGTCACCAGTCCAGCATTTTGTTGGCTAGGCAAGGTTAGACTTGATCTGCTATTACCAAACACTAATACTTCTGTGGAGACGCTGTTATTTTCAAAACCACTCAAATAACTCCGTGAATCAGTTGATGCATGTGAAATGCTTTTCACAGCGGACTCCAGCTTGTCAAATGTGCCTGATTTTTCCCGCATAGTTTTGATATTTACTCTGCTGTAATCTGCTGATGATAATAACAAAATTACCAGGATGTGTTAGCGTTAAATAAAAAAAAAATTCAAAGACCACGTTCTTAGCGTTAAATTTCATGGAAGTGGGGCGACTCATGATGGTTCAGTTACATTCAGGAAAGGATCTCTCATCGAATTCCTCGGTATTTTTTTTCCCCAAGAGAACTCTTTAAAATATGTTGAATACAGTAGAATTTTTGGATCGCACTAGTTTTTCTCTAAAATTAATTATCGATTTCCTACTTAATCCTAACCAATATTTTGGAACTCAGACCGGTGATCGAACCGGTAAAGTGGCCGAGTCAAGGTTCGACTGGTTCAATTCTAGTTCATTGATTTTATTTATTTATTTATTATTTTTAAAAATAAAAGATAACAAATAAGCAGAAATATATAAAATCAACACAAAAATCCTAAATTTTGTAATATCTTATGGAGAAGATTTACTAATCTGGTACCTTCTCATTCATCGGCCAAATAAAAGAAAAAGCATTTCATAAAGAAATAAAGAATCAACAAAATTATGAACAAATCTATCCAATATTTTACATGAAACAAGGAAGAGTTTAACTTTCCCAACTCAAGAATAAATTTGATAGGATTTGTAAAATTAACTCCAAAAAAAGGAGAAAAATATGAATATGAAAACAAAAGATAGAAGAGGAAAAGGAAAACAATTGTGTTTCTTTATCTATTGAGTTCAACTTCATTATCATCTTTATCAACAATAATGTAAAAGAAAAAATAGAAGAGAAGAGGGGGAAAAAAAGAGATAAGCGAGGCTTGTCGAGCGGCTGCTGGAAGTGGAAATTCTTGGAGGAGGAAAGAAGATTGAAAGTTTCTTTAGTTTTTAGCTGGATTAGTTATTTTGCTTTTAAGTTGGGCTGGGTAAGTTTTTTTTTTTTTATTTGAGAAAAATGGCCCATCAACCAACTTAATTTTAGTAGCAGACAATTAGTTGTAGTCGTTAAGCTTCGATACAAACTAAAAGCCCAAAAAAGTCAGCAACCATTAAAAAAAAAAAAAAAAGTTGAAGTCCCAAGTAAAAAATTCAAAAACTTGACTTTACCGGTTTAAGCCGTTCATTTCGGTTCGCGATTTTGATTGATTTTTTTAACTTTTGAGTTTTTCATAAATTCGAACTGATATCATGGCTGGTTTATGGTTCGATCGGTCGAATCGACTGATCCGATCCGATTTTTAAAACATCGATCCTAACTTTCAATATTCCTGAATTTTTGGAGACTATCAAAAGTGAAACATAATCCATCAAAGAGATACCAAAGCAAATCGGCCTATGAGGTTATGGGCTTGTTCTCTGCTTACTTTATTTACGCGATTGTAGTTTCCGATTTTGGACATGACTCATCTTCTTGTTTGCTTTTCCATCTAGATTATTAAATTATCCAGTTGCCAAAAAAGATAAAATCCTGAATCTAGTAAATAGTAGCTATAACTAATTCTTACTATTTTAGCCTCGTCTTTTCACAATCACCTTTTGCAAATTTACCTACAGCAGTTAAACAAGACCTATATAAGTTACAGCACATTTCGGATCACGCAATAGAATACTCCTAACAACTAAACTCCTCTTGATATCCAAATGAAAAGTCAAATTACAGAATACTTTACTGAAGTGGTACATGTGAAAAACTTAACACCATAGATATAATTCAGATATGTCAGAGTTTGTGTAATTTTTGGCATTATTTTTGGAGTTTATTACTGTAAACTGCACCTACAAAAATAATTTTTGGAAACCGACCATTCAAGACACATCCATTTTCTTTGTTGCACTAGTAGATGTTAAGATCGAGACAATAATGCTCACTAACAAATGCATAACCCCAACATGCAGCAACAAAGGAAATGGAGTTAAGTTATGCATCCTCAACCCATTATCACACTCTGCTACATGTGTAAATTTTTCAAGAAAAAAAAAAAAAAGAAGAGATATGAACTCCCCAACAAAGCAAAGGTGTCGAAAAGAAACTGTAGTACATATAAAAACCAAAACATGCAGATATCGAAAAGGGATTAATCTCAAGAAGACTTACACTAGATCATGAGCAAACAGGCTTTGGATCCCTTTCATGCATGCAATCCCATAAGGCTCAGAAGACAAAGAGGGTTGATGGAGTAGTTTCAGTATCTGAATGCCGTGTGAGGTGGGGTTTTTGTAGCAGCAGGAGATGATGATGAATATGGAAAGACGGCCATAGACTGGCAGGTAGATAAAAGGAGAGGAGAGAGAATCAAGAAGCGAAGGTAAGAGAGAGTGACCAGATCGAGTGGCATGCGAATGTACAACTCAATCTTAGGATCAATCTTAAAGACAGCGATGTCTTCTGCTTCCCTTTCTTTCTTTCCTTCCTTCCTTCCCTGTTTAATAGTTTAATAATAATAACAGTTGACAGGTATTACCACATCTAGCAGCCACTTGGACAGACTCCGCCCTAGATTTTGCCCATAATGACGTTAATGTCCAATGCCTTCCTCAAATAGTAACCCTATATATATTACCCAATCATGCAGACTGGATAAACAAATTTGATGTCATTTTCTGTACAAAAAAGTAGAAAAATATTTTAAATGAAAAGGTTAATTTAACAAGTAAGATCTAATTTGCCTATGAACACATTGGCTATACAACTAGCATATGGAAGTAATCAAATTCTCGTGACATCCATTCCAAATTTGTTTTGACAATTCATATTATTATTAGCAAATTGGAGAAAGGCATTGGGATTCACCATTCCCAAGTTGCTTTATAAGGAAGGTAAACTTGTGACTAAGACAAGAATCCTAAGTTATATTGTCGAGGAGGATATGTTGCAGATTGTCTTTCATCGTAAATAAAAGAATTACTTTTTTTTAAAAAAAAGTATTTTTCAGTCTTTATTGTTTGAAAATTGAAGTATTCAAAAATTATTTCAAGACAATGGATAAATTAGTAGACCAATTGTCCTTCTAAACTCGTTTGGATTGCTATTCTTTGAAGTTTTAATATAAAAATATATTCTGGTGATTTAATATATGTGAAATAAAAACATGATTAGAAAATATGTTCACAAAAAGAAAAATGAAGATCTGAACAAAGCATGTACACTAACCAAACAACTCAGTCTAAATTTAAAGGGACTATTATGAGATAAGATTCAAAATACGTAAAAATGGAAATATGTACATACAATTAATTATGATCTATTTACTTACAAAAAAAAAAGAATTTCTCAAAACAAAAGTTACATTACTCGTTTAGTGCTAAAAACATACAAATTTTTTTTAAATACATCCGAAAATTCAAAGCCTAATATAAAGTGAAGCTTTCTTGTTTGGATTATGACATTTTAACAAAATTTTTTTATGTTTTTCGTGAATATATTTCTCAATCACATTTTTATCAAATATAATCAAATTGTTACGGTACATTTTTCTATAAAAAAAAAAATTAAAAAATAGCAATTCAAATGGAAGCTTAATATTTAGTCAAATTCATGAGGCAAGTATACCAAGTAACTAGTCATGGAGCTAAACCATCTTGCCACCATAGGCAGAAAAATGAAGGGGTAGAGTCGTCTTTAAGAAGTGACACTACTGATAAGTGATAACCTGTGGACTTGTACGGCAAGATGACATTAGGTGATTAAGATAATCAGAGGCGACAATAAATTGATTAATGATTAACATTGATTTGTATTATTGGTCCAGTTTTGCATGTGCTGGCCCTCCAGCTTAAGCCGCTACGTGTCGAGAAATGGTGGGGCCCGATTACCTACTTCCCCGGTGCGAAGGCCAGGTGTTGAATCAGTCCCCTTCCTAATTGATGACTCAACCGCCTGTTAACGGCGTCGCGCCGTTGGTGGGGCCCGTTGTTTTGGCGTTGGGTGACAAGGCCTACCGTAACCCCCTCCAAAGAAGCAAGACGACATCGCACGGGTCTGATAATAGCGACCGTCAACTTTCCACGCGTCCCCTGACTGGCATCAGCGGACGTCATCAACATTGTACAATCCTCAGTCAACTTTCCAATTTGTGATGGACTCCAAACAATGAATAATTACTCGGGATTAACTTTTCTTTCTTTTTTTTTTTAAATATTACTGGATCAATTTCTCTTGAAACGTGTTCCTAGCCCCTGTTTACTTGATTATGAGGTCAAGTCCACTTCAAATTTTAGGGGCTCTTGTTTCTCGAATGGCCCATTTTGCTCTTTCTCTATATTTGATGCATTTAAGGTTGCAAACGAGGCTAACAAAAGTAAACTATTTAAAGTTCAAACTTGTTTATTTGTTTTACGGAATTTAAAATCATGTTTAAAAGTTAGGCTTTTTTATTTATCAAGTAAAATTCGGATGAGTTTCTATTGAGTCAAAACCGAGTTGAGTTTGAGTAATTTGACTAGTTCACATGCAAATTTCAATATTAGGTTAATCGAGTCAAGTTTGAGTTGACTTTGAAATTTTACAATGTACAAAATTGTGTTTATTCTTTATTTGATTAATTAGCGAATCAAATTCGAACTTGCTTCAATCGAGTTGAACTCAATTTGAATATTGAACACCTTGATTTGCCTTTCAGTCTATGTTTTGAAGCTAGATCAATCGGTTCAATTGATTGAACCAAAAACCGAGTTGACATCCGATCTTTAAAAAATCATGAAACAAAACTTGGCCAAATCCAATCAAAAGTCGGGTTTGACCGGAAGAACCGCTTCAACTGGAGTCTAACGGTCTAAGATCTAAAGAAAAGTAAAGACGGACATTGGTTTGTGTAGTGGGAACCACTTCAAAACTAAATGCATGGGGCATGTGCTGTACACAATTGCCGCCAACATTGTGTGCCGTTTCTGACCATTGTTGTATTTTTTAGCTTTTTTAATTTTTTCCGTCTTTTCCTTTTTTACCCTTTTTGTTTTCCTTTTTTGATTCTTTCTTTTAATTACTCTCAAATCTCTTCACATATCCTACCATAAATCTCTCTCAAACAATTCCAATGGAAGATCTAAGTTAAAAAAATGGATAAAACATTAAAAAAAGAAAATAAAAAATTCACCTAGAAATATTTTATCAATTTTATGATTTGACCCTCAGAGTACTAGAAAACTATTATTACACCTAGAAACATTTTAGAACTTATACCTATAGTCCTAAATTCTTGTATTACTTTTCAAATAAGCCCTCCAATTTGGTTCTAATTAGATTGTAAATTGCATAAATTGCTACTTAATTATACTACCTTATTTGTATTTCTTGTAAAGTATCTTAGAAACATCAAATATACATTGAACCTACATTTCTTAGTACTAATATATTTTTAGAAATTTTACATAATATATTAATTTTTAAAATTAAATATATTTATGATATCATAATGATGTCATCCGGTTCTTGGATGGGTTCTACCAACCCATTGATCCCTAATTCTTGACCTCGACTGAGTCGATAGCCGGTTCGAGTTTCAAAACATAGCTTTTAGTGAGAGAAATTTGTTTTCTTCGGAATCGTCTAAAGCGGGTGGGTTTCAATTCTGCTAACTTTTGATCTAAGATGGTATGGCTTTAGGCCCATCAACATTCAGATCAAGGGTGGGTTTTTTTTTTTTTTTTTGGTCAAAGGTCAACTTCTATATATATGTATGATCAAGGGTAGATATTAGATAGAGGCGATTCTACGTTTCCTCTTAGGTATGATATCCTTGCCTAGGTCTAGCTTAGGTATGGTATCTTCTTAGATTTTCCCTTGACCTCTTTAGGTCCTTCCCTCCCCATAGCATCAAATAAATGTAATTATATCGTATCGGCAAAAAAAAAATTATATCCTCGCCTAGGTGCTTCTGCCACAAAATAGTGCAGCGAAATATTTTCCAAGAATTAAAAAAGAGAGGTGCTGGGAGGAAAGCCCTCGTCCCATTTAGCAACCCATATCTGATCAAAAGTTGTGCGCGTGATGGGCTCAACTAAAATGAGATACGGGCTCAAAATGAAACGGCCGATGCAGCCATGGTTTGAAGAATTTTGGGCTTAACTGAGCATTCCCACAAGAACATGATACTCTTTTTCTCTGTTATGAATTAATTATGTTCTTTTTTTCTTGAAACTAGACAATTGGCTTTAGTTTAATGAAAATTCTACATAAAATTCTTACCTTTGACATCAGGTATACCAAAATTTATAGACAGCCGACCCACCGAACCTTCTAACTTTGGCATGGCCATGGTTCCCATTTGGAACCGGAACCGGAATCAAAACCGTGGAACCAGAATCATGGTAGAACCTTGGATAAAGGTTTCGGTTCTCTAAAAAATAGAATCAGAACCAGAACCTTCGGTTCCAGAATCGTTAAAAAATAATTAAAAATAATTAATATAAGTAATAAGATAATTTGAAAAAATTAGTTGTGTTTAATAGGTTTTAAGAAAGTTTAAATTTTTAGCCTAGAATTAAGAAAGTTTAAGAAAGTAGTGAGACAAAGTCGAGGTTAAGCCTAGAATCACTAGAAATTCAAGCATGCGTGGATGATTGGACTAGAGCAGAATATAGACAACAAGAAATGGAAAAAGATGAAGAAGAAGAATTCAATTATACAACTGATTCTAGTGTCGTCGCAAGCAATGAAGATGATTAAATAATTAATGTTTGTTTTGATATTTCATCTCAATTTCAATGAAAAAATCATGCATTTTCTTTTCCATTTAAAATGATCACCATTTGATAGTGTAATGTATTTTTTAATTTGACAATGTAACGTACTTTTCATAAAATTTTTATTATCTATTTATTACTTTGTACTTTGTAGAATAATAATAAAATTAAAATATGATCTTATTTTGTATTTATTTTTTTACATTCTATTTGAAATTTTAAATATATTGTTATATTCGCATTAAAATTGGTAAGGATAAGGAATTAAATAAAATTGTATACAATCACACAGAACCAAAACCATCTTAGATGGTGCGGTTCTGGTTCTACCTCTTTGAAGAACCAGAACCGGCGGTTCTAGAACCGTGGCCATGCATCTAACTTCAGGAAAGAGGAGGAGGCGGATGCCGCTGCGGGTGAGAATTCAATTCATTCGCTTGTTCGTTGTGATTGGTTATTGAGTTTGATTGTTTGGATCGGTTATTTGATAATTTAGATCAATTTCAGTGGCTTTTTGGTGGTGATGTTATAAAAATGCCACTAAAATTGCTCAAAATACAGCAATCGCCACCGAAATTGGACCAATCAGAGGCTTCAATTTTGCAAATCAGCAATCCAATTTCACTCATCCACGCTTTTATAATAATAATAATAATATAGATTTGGATTTTAAGCATGTAAAGGTGAAATCAGATTCTTGACTAGGAGTTCATCTCGTCAATCAGGATGCAGATGATCAAATCCGCTACAATATATTGTGAAAATCCGCAAGTTATTAGATCGGAATCATGAATGCAAATTGAGCCATTTTTGGAGGAATGGCAAGGCTTGTACCCATGCATTAGCTAAGGCAAGTCTTTTGAGTATGCAACTTGGGATTGTTTGCACAGAACCGGATTTGTTACTACTCACTAGCCAAGCCACGTTTTAATATGCAAGTCATGAAACTTCTTCTTTTCAATTTGGTACTTTTGTATTAATCTAACTATTGGATTGTTTTAAAGAAAAGAAGGGAATGGGGGAAACGAAGGAAAGATTTCACTGTCGTTGTTGTTGGATATTGCTGTGTTATAATTTAGCAACTCAATATCAAAGCATAACTGCCATTTGAAGATTAAATGGTAGAATCCAAGTACAGGCAAAAAATTTCACTCACACGCTAACGAGATAATCTAAGTAAAGCGGAACTAATATTGGTTGGATTCAAATGCTAATCATTTCAAACTAAAAATCTTCTGAAATGCCCCTAAGAAGAAGGCCTCAATGTCAGGAGGAGCAAAATATGCAATAGTGGTTGATGATCTTTTTGATAAGCACTGATCAGCAGCAGCTATTCTTCTCTTCTTTGGAGCTGATGGACATGTTCTAATCTCAGGTATTCTAAACCTCTTTGCCTTCGGTGTCGAATAAACAGCAGCATTCACCAAAAGATCTTTGCCATTATCCTCAATAAAGTTAATCTTCAAAGACCCTTTGCAAGCCTCAGCACTGCTGCAATGATCACAAGATAACTCCATGTTTTGCTGCTGCTGCTGCTTCTGCTAACTGTTTTTTCTCCTCCTCCTCCTCCTCCTTCTTCTTCTTCTTCTTCTTGTGTTATATACTGCCATGATAAAGGCTAATTGCCAAGTAATTAGTCTCCTCTGCTGTTCTTATCCAAAGAAACAGTTGAAAAGTGCTCATACTTTGTCAAAAAACGACACTTGATTTGCTCCTGCTATATCTTTGCCAAGGTAAGCAATGAGATAATGAGCTTGAAAAACACAAAATTATGGGTTTTTAGCATTGAGCGATACCCCATTGGACCGTTGAATAATTGGCTTCTTGGAAGAGGTTATGTCATACTCGTAATAGGTACAAGAAGAACACTACAACAGCAGCAACTGCTACCACTAATAAAGAAATTTCAATTTAGCACTTTTTGAACAATTCTAACTTTTACCCTTCTACCAATGTACCTTGAGACTTTGAACTTTTGTAGGGTTTTCATAGCTGTGAAAAAAAAAAAGGTTTTGCGGACATGCATTTACACTGACATAAATAAAGGTATGTTGGGTGGAGTTAATGAAATTTGATTGCTGGTTAAGTGGTTGGAGTTATCATACCTCTACACCAAATTTTATGTCTGTCAAGATTTTTTTTTTTTTTTAAAAAAAAAGAGAACAAAAATTTTAACTATCAAATCTATTAATGTGAAAATACAATAAGAGAGCAAAAATTTTCATGTTTATTAATTTGATGATCTCTGTTCAAATATTTGAGTTTTTAAATTAAAAATTAGTAGCTGTTTCTCTCGACCTCAAATGTATGTCTCAACTAGGGTGGAGTCTGCCTTCTAAATCTTTTTGTACAGATAGGCCATTACTAGAAGATGGAAATTTTTTTTCTTTTTTTTTTTTGGATAAGGACTTTAAACCTCCCGGTGGGAATGGAGAAAAATTAGTGTGTTCGGATAGAAGATTATTTGGGAGAATTATTTTTTTTTAAAATACTATAGTATTTTTTTTATGTGATATATGGAAGATGAAAAGATGATTGAAAAATATTTTTATGACACAATCAAATAAATTTTTACAAATAATGAGCTGTCCAAACACACACACATAGGTGGTATTTTATTTCTTGTTACGAATTATGAGAAATAGTGAAAATTTTGCGGGATAAATCATCCAGCCCAGACCACATGCATGTTAGGCTCACAACTTATTGTAGAGGGCCAGGTGGGCTCGCGTTGCTCCAGTGAGGCCCAAATTGTAAAGAAGTGATCTATACAATTAACCGAGAAAAGAAAATGAGAGGGAGTTTAGGCCGAAGAAGAAAAGGAAAAAGTAAAAAAGACAGAAATTAATTGTGTTGATGGCTTGGTGCTATCTTATGTTACACGCTACAATTGGTCTTGAAGCCACTGGGTTAGTGATCTGATATGTCTTCTCCAACCAATTCCTGGCCCAAATATAAATTTTTTTTCGGAGAGCTCAAAATCTTCATTTCAAGAAAGTTTCTTATATTTTAGAATTCCAGTTCAAAAGCATTTAAACAAAGAATTAATCTTTTATACACTGACCGTGTATGCATTTTCACCACTGAATATATGACACATAATCTGAATTTGAATTTGAAAATCAAAATTTTGCAGGTGCATCGTACATTCAACCGTGATAATAATGTATATGCTATCAGCGTATATAAGATTTACTTTTAAACAAAAGTCAGATCAAAGGGAAGAAAAGAGACCCTAAGCTTGGGAGTAGCAATGAAATTATTTACTTTTTTTAAGAAAATCATGAACTAAGTTCCCAAAATATTTTAATTCTACTAAAGAAAAAATCTAGTCATATTAAGTAAATTTGAAACTTTACAATTGTTAAAAATATTTCCTCCTCAAATCATGAACATCAACAAATGGACATAAGATATAAATATGGTAAGATATCTCCCATACACGTCGTGAAAATTTTAATATTTTGACACAAAAGTTTTTTTTGTTAAAAGTACATGATATTCTTTTTTGATAAATGTACATAAAATGATTTTATTTTTATTTATGCAATAGATTTCAAGTGCATGTAATTTTCTTAAGGTATTTGGATCCCATTTTTATCAAATTCTACAGGTAAAACGACCTGTAGATCATTGAAATTCAATGACCTTTTTTGGTAAAATGACCTTCGGCAATAAGTTATTTTTTTACCGATACAATTTGGCAAAATGACTTTGCTGGCCATTTTTTGCCAATTTAATGACTTTTGTAGCCACAAAAAAAGTTTGATGACTGATCCGTACCCTGCTTGAGAGTTTAGTGACCTCTTTTACCATCCACTCTAAAAGTTTTGGTGCAAAACTATCGGTGTCATCCAACATTTCTCTGAAAGTGCAGTAATCAACTAAGTACTTGGAAAACATGCAATCCGGACTTTAACCCCCTCAACCAAAAAGAAAAAGGAGTGCCCAGCCTTGATGCACGATGAGTTATAGTTACTCAGTGTCAAGACTTTGTCGTTGCTATCACTTTTTTCTGTTCCCTTTTGGGCAGAATTTGCGCTCACTATCATTTCCCTGAGAAGCGTTATTAGGCAGCAAGCTTGACTTTTGTAGCCAAGAAGTTGGGAACAACTATGAACCATCAAAGGTGAGCATCAGTTTGAGCCGTCAAATCCATCCCTGACTGCAAAAATAAAAGGCTTTTTTCTAAACGTTTTATAGTTTTTAGCGTATCATTTTCGTACCTGATAATCTGTGCTGACAGCCTAATAAGACCTACAAAAATGTCTATTTGAATGTCTAATGGTTTAAACTTCAAAGCAAAGAAAATATCAATTCATGCTACACTGAAAAGGAGATCCACTACAAAAGAACAACACTAACGACAATGAAAAATTATAAAATTTCTGCACAGGCTTACTGATTAAAAAAATGCATCACAGAAATTCATTGCTCAAAATGGTTGCGACCCCTTAAAGCTGAGCAAAGGATGGAATATGCTCATCAGAGATCTTCAGATGATGGAATAAGCATATGGACTATAAAGGGTACAACCCTGCATTGATACTTGCATTTGCGCTGCTGTTACAATGAACTTAACTATACAATTGAGGGGGAAGAGGAACTTAAAATGGGAGGGTAGAAGCCTTTACCCCGATTCTGCATTTGATTCCAGTTTTCCTTCTGATGATGTCCTAGAATGGCAATGAGAAAAGAGAGGTGGTGGGATATCAACACTCAATGTGCCTTCTAGCACCTTAACTACCTCGCCCATTGAAGGTCTCATCCGTGCATCAGCTTGCAGGCACCAGAATGCAATTCTCAATGCTCGTTGCAACTCATCTGAACTCACACTTCCTTCCAATCGACTATCAACTATTTCGTAGCTTTGGTCAGCTAGCCATTTTTCATATGCCCATTCACAAGCATCGTCTGCATTTTGGCTTCCACTCATTATTTTCACCAACATCTTCCCAAAATCTCTAACATCTGCCTCTGCAGTTTGTTCGGTGTCTGATTCTTCACTAAGAAAAGTCTGCAACCCAAATTCACTCACCTTGACTTCAAAGTTATCATCTAAAAGCACATTTTCACATTTTAAATTCCCGTGACTTACGTAAACTCTACATCCTGTATGCAAGTAATAAATAGCCCTTGCCACTGCTAAGCAAATGCTTATCCTCCTTCTCCATGTCAATCTCTTGCACATTTTTGGATCTTCCAAACAATCTCCAAGTGAGCCGTTCTTTGCAAATTCATAGACCAAGAGCCTGTTGCTTGAATCACAACAGTAACCATCCAACTTTAACAGATTCTTATGAAATATACTTCCTATTTTAGAAACTGCACTCCTGAACTTCCTTTCTTCAATGCTTGTAGCCAAATCTTTGATTGCAACTGGTCGTTTATCTGGAAGTACACCTTTGAACACCTTGGGACCAATCTTGTGCTTAAAATTCTCTGTCAGCTCAGTAATCTCAGCATATGATAACATGATACAACCTCCGGTATTAGGATCCACATTACTAAAATCAGTTTTCTTCCTGATATATTTTCTTCTCCTCAAAAAGTAGAATCCAGCACAAAGTTGGATCACAAGAATTATGCCAAATGTTCCTGCAGCAACTCCAATAAGACAAGGAATGCAGATTTTCCGCGATGACTTTTGAATAAGTTTAGATTCAGGGGATTGAGGTAAAACTGCAACAGGATCTGAACATGTCTTTATCAGAGATATAGAACCCAATGAAGGATCAGACTTGCCACTCATATATCTAGTGTTTTTTATTCGGCATTGTGGAGTGCCATTGTTTATGAAGGTTACAGCAGTACAACGTGGGTCTTTCTCACACAAGGTTTTACATTCTTGCAGGTTGGTATGCACAATTGTATCGTTAGGCGGGTAAATTCCATATAGAAAAGTATGCTCATACAGAATCAGGGAAGAACCAGAATCACAATTTTCATCAGAGGAAGCCAAACATTTTGAGTTAAACTCACCAGCTGGCATGTATGGACATTTGCAAACTGGTAAGCCAGACTCGTTGAATACACAAATGCCATGGACGCCACAAGTTGCAAATACATCACACTGATTGTTGACAGCTTGCCAAACAGATCTCCATGAGCTTGAAGCATTTTGCCAAGAGTACAACCGAAGATTTCCATCAGCATCCAGCCTAAGAAACCGAAAATGTACGTTCGAATCATTGTGGTCGTCTCCAAAAATGGACCAAATAGACTTGGATGTTTGGTCAATTAATTGCAGTGTTCCATCAGCACTAAGTATTGCTCGATGAGCTGACTGGGATGGATTCCCACTGGTCCAGTAAATGATGCTAGTTTCCCACCTAAGTTGCAATTGACCAGAGTCACCCATATAAAGACTGTAATAGCTCGAAACAGGACTGTTACTAGGAGGCCGGAGTACATGGGAAGCAGAGAAATTCTGGCCTGGGAGAAGTGTATCAGAGGGATTATCAAAACTCTGCCAAACAGTGCTCTTTTGTTTGTTCAGCAGGACAAAATTACCATCGTCACGAAGAAGAGCTGATACTACAGATGCATTACTAGTTTTGCTTGTCCAAGCAGTTATTCCAGTGTCAGAATCAAAAAGAAACAATTCCCCACTCTCATCAAGCTGGAAATATGACTTGTTACCAACTTTAAGGTCTGCTCCAGCCACCCAAACCACTGTTTGCTTATCTATAGGGATCGAACTTGAATTAAAGTGAATGCCAACTTTATATAGGTTGAAATAACTAAAAAATCCAATTGCAAAATCCCCATTGGAGGAGACCCAAAAGTTGTTATCTTCTACCGAGATTTTGGAGCCTAGTCGAATTTCTGAACTGACAACAAAGTTAAGGAGCAGGGTAAGAGAAATACAGAGCTGGACTGCTGTACTGAAGATCAATTTTTCTTGTCTAAGCATATCTGCATATGCTCAAAGATGAAGATAGCAACAGAATTGGACCACATCCAGCTGCCGCAGAACAAGAAGCAATGATTCAAATCTAACAGGGCAACAATTAAGCTAACAAAATTGCTAAGCTTTGAAACACGAGGAAACCTGTAGTTGCTTGGAAAAGACAAGCAGAAAGAAATGGCTATCATTTCACCATAGGGAAGAGTATTCTAAACTGTCTTTATCATTTTGAAAGGACTGAAGTAATTTTGTAGAACTATTGGGTAGAGGAATCAAAAAGTCTTGTAATTTAGGTTTATGTTAACTTAGTCAATATCTAAACCAAATGCACATGTAGTTGAATGAAAGATGTAGAACGATAGAAAATAGACTGCAACATTTTAGAATATGATACCTGAAAAGGTATTCACAGTCCTCAAGCTTCAGGACAACTCTGGTAGATGCTTCTATTGGCAAGAGCTTGTATGCAGCCAGGGATACAACACTGGTTTGGTCCTAGTTGAAAAATCAACATGTTAGAAACAAATGAATCCACAGATGATGATTACACCAAAGAGCTCATGACCTAAACAATTCAATCCTGGACCACCATGTATTCCACAAATGCATTTCAACATATATTTATTTTATGGATTTGATTGGGCCTGGTGTTGAAATCTTGGTTCAAATGGGACCCAATACAGGTCAAAATTATGAGCCTAAAGGCTTATACAATCACTTCGTGAACCTCAAACAGACAAGAAGAAGTGTTTTACAGGTATTCAAAGTTGTAAAGATCAAGGACTACTGCAACCATATGATATTGATATAACAAAAGAAAAAAAAAAGAATATACATGAAGATATTATCACAAGTCAACACATAAAACAAAAGACTAATCTACTTTATTGGTTGGTCATTGATGGTAATTTTTACAAAAATTGCAGCTATACAAAACATTCTTTGTACTAAAAACTGTAACTTTTTCAAAACTTAAACCCAAATTTAGGCCAATGGCCCATTGAAAAGAGCATTTGTGCAAGATCAAATTTTTATGTTCAAAGGAGAAACTGCAGGCAAAAATAAGTGAAGAATCAGTGTGAAGAATGTAGTTAAACCAGTAAAAATGCGTACAACTTCTTCTGGGATGGAACTAAATGCAGAGAAAATGAGAACCCATGTTTCAAACACTTCAAAACAATTGAGCAAATTACAATAATGTGGCGTTTTTCTATTTTCCTTTGTTGCCAGAGTGAAAGAGGGAATACTATGTAAGAGAGATGTGGCCTAGTTGGAAGGTTGAATCCACTGCAGATTTGGTTGCATTGTCGCCGGAAATGGGAACGGAAAGTCGTCGGAGTCAGTGGAGAGAATTTGCCGGAGAACCTTTGGCTTTGAGGATTTTGTTGTTGAAGAGTGTGAACTGTGGAAGTGTAGTCAAAGAGAACAAGCGAAAGTCTAATCCAGACATAAGTCTTAAATTAATGTCACATAAATAGAAAATAATGCAGGCGCAGCAGCCGGTGGCCCCACCATTTGGGTATCCATTATATATAACCCAAAAAAAAAGAAAGAAAAAAAAATTAGAGAATTGTAAGACGTAATATTTGTTAGATGGAGTTATCAAATGGTAATTCTGCATTTTATAAGTTATAATCAGGACATACAAAATTCTCGCATAAATGCAAGATAGGGAAATAATTGTAATGTACAAAATTTTCACATAAATGCAAGATAGAATGATCATTGCTTCTCTTGCTTTCAAAACCTTCGTGACAAGGTTTAATTTATTCAAATTATCAACTATTTTTGGAACTCATTTCACTAAGGTTATGTTTGGATTGCATTTTCCGTCATTTTTCATGAAAAAATTACTGTAGCGATTTGATATATGTGAGGGAAAAAGGTGATAGGGAAATGTGATCACGGAAAACGACAATATTTTTCGACGGAAACAAGCAATCCAAGCATAAATTGTCTTTGACAATTTTTAGACAAATTGAAGTTTCCATATGTAACTATTCTTTTTTTTTAGTAACAAAGTTTTCCAATTTCAATAAATCAAAGGATAGTATCGTTATAGAGAGATCAGTGTTATTTTTTTTTCATTTATTTTTCTGTCCTAAAAGGCATGGTCACCTTCTAAGTTAATTGCAAGTTAAAATTTTTATAAGAATATAAAGTTAATGTAGTAACCAACTCGTTTAGAAGGGGGACTCTCATTTTAATGTTTTAATTGTGTAAATAGTTAGTGGAATTATACTGATGTAGATAAGGACCTTTCCTTTTGTACAAACTCTTTTTGCATATGTTAATAAACTATGTCGATCGTGTTTAGATTGTAATTTTTTAAAATTTTTGTTAAAAATATACTGTAGCGATTTGATATATGCGAAATAAAAGATAATTGAAAAATTTGTTCACGGAAAACGTAGAAATTTTTTTGGTGAAAAATCCCTTTCCAAACAAGAAGGTTCAATTCTTGCTCAAAACCCAAAAAAAAAAATATTCGTTTAGGGAGTTGTTTATCTTTGATGTATATACGGAGTATTTTTTTTGTTCAGGGAGTTGTTTGTCTTTGATGCATATACGGAGTATTTTTTTGGAACTGGGGACATTAGGGTGGAGTCGGTGGACACTGGACTCTTGGAATCTTCAATAGGATCTTTTGACAGTTTGACTTTCGAGGCTAGGATGAGAATGTCGGGAGCACAGTACCCGACCTCTGTTCACAAATGCAACCCGTGTTATGGGCTTGGTATAATTTCAGAAACCTCCCTAAAATTTTTGACACTTTCACTATTCTCCCCTGAAATATTAGAGATCATACTAGCCTTCCTTGAACTAAACGTTTTGATAACCTAATCGGTCCACGTCATGAAAAAATTGTTTTGAGAAGTGAGATGATAAATTTGTTCCATGCATGCCCTTTTCTAATTGTCTTCAAGTTGTATTAATAAAGAATGAAACAATTAACAAAAATCAAGGAGTATGAGTGAAATTGAAAAAGATGCAGTAACAAGAAGCAACAATGATCTTTTACAATAGCTAGTGCAAAGTGCAACAGCTATATTTTCTGTCCTTTACAACTACATATAAAGAATACGAGGTCTATATAGCTATTAGATTATCAATATAAGCATCTAAATCTGGGGTAAAAAAATTACCCTTTTTTATTGTAGTTAGTAAGGTAAAAGTAAAGTACTGGTACAAAAACAAACATAGGAGTAACAAATAAGCAGAAAGGCATGAATAAATTTTGTCTCGACACAAGATTCAATAAAACTAGTTAGTCAGAAAATCCTTCTATTTCTCTTGCTAATAAAGTCCTTGTTTTTGTCAAGTGATGTCAATAAAAAAAAAAAATGGCACCATCTTAGGATAGCAATTAATGCCATTTTTTACTGTAATTACGGCTGTTAATTTGAGATTAAATAAATGTCATCATTCTGATTTAATTAGTTAATTTCATTTATTTAGTGCCCTAACCCTTTTTTTTTTGTCAAATATCTATTTGTAATAAAGTATAATATCTTAGGATAAAGCAGTACTTCCACTACATCTTATTTTTTAAACAATAAAGTCCAAATTTCTAATAAGAGAAAGTCGGTGCAAATTTTAAAACCTCAAATGGAGATCGGTGAAACCTCAGCAGAGCTCTTTGCCCGGCAAATTGCAGAAGAAAAAGAATCACTCTCTCCCCTCGTAGTATAATGTTTTGATGGTCTCATGATTTTGATTTGATCATTTTGTGTCATTTGGAATCCATTCATCATTACTTGGGTTTATGTTCAAAATTAATCATGAAGGTTAGGCCATAGGCAACCATGACATTTTCCGATGTCTATTTCAAAAGCTATAAATCAACAATTACGCCATTCACGTTCTGGCTGTAAATCTGAATGTCCAAACACGGATTTTTTTTCCCTTTTGTCTTTTCAAAAAAATCCGAACTTTTCCATCCGTCAAAATCTTGATAATAACATTGGACTGTTAAACACTTATTAGTTGTCCGACTAATAAGTGCCCATTGGGAAAACATACATTGCTCCGAATCCAAATTCAAACAAAGATTAAAAGCATATATGAAAGGTTAGATGTCTAATCTATGAACTAGCCAAACAAGAAAAAAAAGAAAAAGGGAAAAGGTCTTGGTTGGTCACTTGCTCCAAACCTAATGTCATTTCTCAACAAGAAGATAAAAATATACCCTAGCTGTCTCTCATGGATGCCATACTTTCTTGATGGGAAGTAAACAAACATATAAGCCACTAGCCATTTGGTCCAGTGGTCATCACCATTAAAGGTGATGCTGGAGGTCAGGGGTTCAATCCCTGCCTCCCACAAATTTGTCACAATTTGTGACGGTCTTAATTGACCTTCATCGATGGAGTCTGTACTCACATCGAACCTCCTCTCCTTCCCCTTAGACTATGCTAGATTAGGTTATAGGACCTCCTCTCCTTCCCCTTAGACTATGCTAGATTAGGTTATAGGACACCTATCGTTTCGACAAAAAAAAAAAAAAGTAAACAAACATATAATATTGCTATCAATACCATGGAATTGTAATAGTAGATGATATGATTATTTAAAGAAGAGAAGCGGACAAGTACTAGTAACCAGCAGAAAATGGCCATGCCGTGCATGCAATCCAACAAAGTGGCTTTTGATCTCATCTCGTGACATCTCCACCACCGTATCTCTGGCTAATCACATTGGACCCATTTGACAGCGTATCATTATTGGGAGAGTCACCCTTTTGCACTTTTCAGGGGTATTTATCCGGATTACTTCCATTGCCCGGTAGTTCCAAGAATAGGTTTATGAATTTTTTTTATATATATTATTCTTTTTTATTTCACAGATAAGTTTATCCAAACACCAACGTAACGGCATATAATTAATCTTTTTTAACATAACAAGACTACTACAATACTACAAGTTAATCTGATGATAAGGACGAGACACTTTTTTCACAAAAGGTCGTGTATTTAAATTATGCTGTCGATGTGATTAAGGGTTGTGTTGGTGAGTAATGTGTAAGAATTTTCATAAGCGATGTATGGTTGCAACAATATGCCCTGACCGATGAGGGTGATCGGAGTCGAATCTGTCCAAACTTTTTTTTCATCAAAAGGAAAAATAACATAAACTCAAGTGGATTTAGAGGAATGTAAAATAGAGTGACTTTTAATTGCAAATTCAAACTCATTTTAACCATAAGATTAACATAAAAACAGGATCATGTACTGACCTACAGTGATAACCAGAGTCGAATCCATTCAACTTAAAAAAAAAAGAAACACCCTTATATTTGTTAATAACATAAACTTAAAGGGGATTTAGAGGAATACAAAATAAATTGACCATTAACTGCAAATTCAACCTCATTTTAACCATGAGATTAGCATAAAAATTGTCTTCGAGACGGTAGTGAGATCTGGTACATTACCAATCGTGATCGCAGAGATTTTATTTACCAAAATGACCATCCAAATGAAGTCTTTTTTTGGGCTTTGGAATTTGGACATAAGCACGTCTCATACACAGCCATTGCTCAAAGTTTGTGGGCCTTTTGGTTTTGCCTTCAGGTAGCCCGTCTAATTCTTATACAGGAATTACAAAAGAAGTGAATCTAGCGTGATGAGCCGAACAAAGTTTGCCTTGATTCCATCATAGCTAACAAGTTTAAGGCCCATAGTTTTTTATTCGTTTCTGCGCGTTAGAATTTGATGATTTGAAATTTGGATACAATGTGGAAAGATGCTTGGGCGACAATTTGGGCCATGAGAGAGCCCATCCTATGTTGAGTTGCCGTCGCCACACCAAACTCTCAAGGAAGCGTTTGAAAGTCTAATTCGACATTTAATCTTATTCTACGTTAAGGAGAAGGGATGGACCCAAAAGCGTCAATAAGGGATCCAGAGAAAAATATACTAAAATAATTGAGAAATATATTCATATAAAACATAAAAATTTTCAAATAGAGCTCTTAAGTCTCTCTGGATGCATTCGAGGAAGAGTATTTTAGTGCAGTTGCCAACATCCAATTTAGTTGATGATAGGAACATAAATTTGATTATGTTTGGCAAAGTTATGTATGGTTATTTTATCCTAGATCTTAAAATCTTATCTTTTTATTTCATATTTGTTTTTTTAACTTTGTAATATTGTTTTTTCTTTCTTCTAAGACAAGAAGAGATGGTGAAAGAAGAGATAGTGAGAGAAGACATTTCTATCATTAACAGACAATGAACCAAAATATGGAAACAGAAATTAATTGTTACAAATCACGAATTCTTTGATGTCTAAATATCGTACAGATACTCCTCTTCATTTTTTTTTCTTTCCAACCTTTCAACAAAAATATCTTTCCCCT